TGTACACATACAAGGCATTGAATGGAACAGCTCCTCAGTACATACAGGAGCTTGTTACCCTGTATCAGCCGTCACGATCACTGCGATTGGAGTCAGAATCTTTGTTGTGTGTCCGAAAATCTCCGACTGTGACCTACGGAAACAGATGCTTTAAGAGAGTTTCGGCTACGTTGTGGAATAGCATACCATCTGCAATTATAAAGTCAAATACCTTAGCCAAGTTCAAGAGGGACATCAACACTCACCTCTTCACGTCTGCGTTTTAGAATCCTTGCAAAGACGTCATGTAAATACCGCCCTTTTATTTGTTCATTTATGTGCACATTGCTTATGTGCACATTGCTTGCGTAAATGTATAAAAGTGATTGTAAGCCTTTGTTTTTTGTTTTCACAATTATAACCATTACTATTATCCATATGATGTAAAGGCTTTAGAGTAATTTTACAAATTAAATAGGGCGCTATATAAATGTTGTATATCATTATTTATTATTAAATAGTGATATAATTGTTCCAATATTCCAATTATCGGGGGAAATTCAAGACCTAAATATTCCATTAAAAAGCAATTTTAGACAAGGTGCCAATTAATCTTGCAAGTAACAAACACTTCATTTAACAATCAATCAAGACCACAAGCCTTATTTTGTTTCAAATCAGATATTGCATGTGAAACCGCTCTCTCAGTGATTTCTATATCTAATTCAGAATAAGGGTTCATATCATTACCAGAATCATCATAAGCATTCATATATGCATTAACTTCCTTATTACGATCAAGAACAGTAGACGCCATTTTTTAAAATGTTCAAAAAAATCTTCTCTTTTCAAATCACATTTTCTCGCTTTTGTCTTTTCTTTAAAACTTCTGTAAAATGTTTTGGGTTATATTTTCTCAAGTAATTCATCATGTTACTCTTCTGGGTCTTGTATTTTCTTTTCAGTTTTAATTCTAGCTTCTTGTATACCTTTTTCTTATCGATCAATCTTGTATGATTGCCATGTGTTTTATTCTTATTAAAGACTGAGAGAGCAGCTTTGTATTGTTTGAAATTTACTTTACAAGTTTCTGAAAACCAAGGTTTATCTCCCTTATTATAGTTTTTAGATATAATACAAGATGGAATCTGAACGCAATATGGTTCAACAATGGTTCTAAGTAATTCAGAAAATTCTTTGTCACTTTTAATTACACTATCCAAAGACATATCGTTATTTCTACATGTATGCATTACATATCGGCATTTTCATTGATCATTGTTTGAATTAACTTATTCCATCGCGTAGAATAAAACAGCTCATTATCACCATGTATATTTTCTTCTGTATAGGAGAAACACCGAAAACTGTGGAATAGTCAAGATAATGGATAGTTCAAAGCCCGTCAGGGCCGAGAACTATGCATTATCTTGACTATTCCACAGTTTAAGGTGTTTCTCATACTTAAAACATGGCATCATAAAACTTCCACTCCTTGACTATTACACAGGTATACAGTGTATTGTTAAACTATTCCACTGTTCCATGTAAGCCCTTACCTGTAACTCTCTGAGACCTATTCACTTGTTTAACCTCACTATAAAGAGCATGCAGCATGCTTTGCATGAAATTTGTGAATGTTTCACAGGCACCATGGTGCTTCTATTGAAACATTTAGTCAGTTTAGTTTGCACTGCTCAACATGGAGGAATCTACATGCAGTACTAGTGATAATGAAATTTTTCTCACACAAACGAAAACCAACACTAATTTTGACCTCAAAAGTGATGTTTTTTCGGATATATCAAGTGCAATTGATTCGCAACAGGAACTTATGAAGGCAACACAGGAATCCGAGCAAAAATTGGCGAAACAAATATTAACCCTCAGTTTCAGAATTTGGAGGATAATAAGATTGAAAGCCTTCTGAAGGATGCCGACTCAAAAAACACCGTGGCAAAATCAGATTTGACATGATTGGATTAGAAACATCTTTTCGAGGCCTGGAAGGCTGACAGAAACAAAAAAGCTGTAACAGATCGAAATGTGCAAGAAGTGAAAGGGGAACTTTTATTTATGTTTGTTATGTTAATGCAAATTTGGGAAGATTTATAACAGAGATACACAAGAAAGATGAACGAATATCGAAGGAATACACTTTATGAAAGTATTGCTGGAATTCAGTATTACATGTATTTCGTGAAAAGTGTCAAAATGTAAATTTTTCTATGACGGAGAAAACTTTCAAGGGTTACGAAGACTTTTGGATGCCAATATGACAATTTTAGCCAGACAGGGAATAGGAATACACAAACGTCAAGCTTCTAGTATTTGAGAGTTGGCCCTAGCTCTCAGCTGAGACTTTTAGAAGGAAATAGCCGCAAGTACATTCAGTACACGGTGGATGTATCCAAAACTAATCCAGGAGGTCTCAATCATCGTAAACGGATCCCAAACAGACATGTGCTTATGAAAACCCGGGACAACCAGACAGATGTCCAGTGAGGATATATGAGCAGTACATGAGCCTAAGGTAAATAATTCGTTTTTTTACACTTACATAACCCTCTTTCCCCCACAAACTCTCACACACATTTCAATAACTTGCAATGTATGTCAAATTTATTTATCTAGACAGTAACTATGATGACATCTAACATCAAATTTTAATATCCATCTTACTCTGCAATGAATATTTACCTACAAAATGGAATATATATATACATTGTTTATTTTTTCAATTACATTCTTTCAGACCTCAAACTGGAAAATGTGAAGCATTGTACCTAGGACCTCTGAAGAATGCAACACCAAACAGCTGGTATGCTGATGCTCCGGTTGGTGTGAACATTTTAAGCCAAGCAGTTAGTAGGATGTGTAAAGAAGCAGGCTTCCAAGGTTTTTACACCAACCATAGTCTAAGAGCAACTGCTGCAACACAACTGTTAGACAGGTATAGATGAGCAACTTTTTTATTGAAAAAACTTGCCACAAGTCTACTGCTGTCAGAGGATACAAACGTACCAGCCAAAATCAGTTAGAGAGTCAGTGATCTCTTGCAGTCTGGTGTGAAAAAACGAAGAAAATGGATGAAAGCTGCACAAGTGATTCTGTAAATATTCAGTCTGGAGATTTGCAAATTTGTTTGAAATTCAAATGAGAAAGTAAAATTTTCCTTCCATGGTGATAACACTCCCGCGGACACAAAGACTGTGAGCTTGTACTATAGTTATCTCACTTTCCTGGATTTATTAAATGTGAATATCCCGATGGATTATGGATATATTGATCAATTAAGTGGTTTTTTTTCCATTCGACATATTTTTTCTAATTAAAACAACTAACTGTTAACATTTTATGTCTTCTTATATTCTTGAATTTACTGTGGAATAGTTTTTGGCTCAAATATACTTCATGCAATAAAAATAGATGACATCACAGTCATGTTTTAAATAATCTTAATCTCTACCGTAAACACAATAGGCATTTGGTCTGAAAAATCTCCGCTTTTAAAATTTCATATAATTTCGAAATTTGACTCATCAACAAGAACATAATCGATTGAGCTTGTTCCCAAACTACTATAAAATGTAATACTGCCTTTATCGTCGCCCGGAAGTTGCCCATTACGATTCTAAAAGCACTCGTTTTACATAAATTCAAAAGTTTTCTTCCCATTGTGTTTGCAATTTTATTTGTACTTTTTCTTTCAGTAACATGAATATCAGGTAAGTAATTAAAAACATTCGATAAAACATGGAAAGGTAAACTTCCAATATTGTCATTTTCTATAAAATCGCTACTTTTTCCGGTTCTACTATTTAGATCACCAATAACAATCACGTTTCCGTATTCATTATACACAGATACATTTTCTTCTACGACTTCAAAAATATTAACGTCATACATAAATGTAATTATCATAATATAAGTTTTTAGCCGGAGGGACGTAATTAGCTAAAATAAAACATTTTTTATTATCTTTCATAGACTTAGAATCTAATTTGATAATAACAGAATGATCGAATACAACTTTTTCGATGGAAACTATTTGCTTAATCGTTTCTTTACAATAAATAGCAATCCCTTCGGAGACCCTTTCCGTCAATTCTAGGAACAGATTTAACATCATAACCAGGTAAAGTAACATCGTTATTTTCATTCACCCAACATTCATAGAGGCAAATAATATGATATTCAGCAATAATATTATTAAAATCATTATCATGTAGTTTTTCGACAAGAGATCTGGCGACATTCCATGATATTACAGAGATATATAATGTCTATTTTATGATCTCCCAGTGGAACCTAAAGGAGCACTTCCGGGTGGGTTGAATCCATTGCCAGCGCGCACCGTGTCCCGGGAAGTACCGTTAATTAATTATTTTACGTCGTAATAACTTGTGAAAAGACAAAGTTCTACGGGAAGATATTACAACATTAAAAATTGAATATTTTGCGTGCATTTTGTCTCACTGTAAAAGATAGAGTCGTTTTAAGAATCTCCTGATGAAGCATTCGTGCAACAACATTATCATAATATTGACATGTAACAAAAATACGCATTCGTGAAGCTCATTTAACTGTAGGATAGACTTATTTAGGATTACATACTGATTTTATTTGACTAGAGGTCTGAATATGTCAACATATGCTTTTCTGGTTTTACTATTTGATAAACCCCTTGTAAAGCGATCACAGACTCTGTCAATTATCAAAATTATTTCAAAACAAACGTTTATTTTCGAAAGGTACAAAGGGGCAGTACACTTTGTAAAGAGCAGAAAATTACTTAAATACAGTGTACATCATCATGTCTAGATATTCAAATGGTAAAAAATGTTAACTCCGAATACAGAACAATATAACAAAGCACATCTGCTGTAATAAGATGGAAGATTTCACAAGTGTAATATTCTAAGCATGCGACATATATTTAAAACTTATAATGAAAATAATTAGTGTCAAAATCACTCGGTATTTTACATCTACATGAACATGAACATTGAAATCACAAATCAATAAATACATACAAATAGCTCTCAGAGGATGTTACTTACAGGCTCGATATCAAAGAGAATATCACACTGAGAAAAATGTTAATATGCCATCACCTAGGTGCCAAAAAGACCACAGTAATATATTTTAATGATAAAATGATATATATTTTACTGTGCCGATATTTCGTTGATAGTTTAATCTTGCTTTCTTCTCAGAATGTTTTCTTACATCTGCAATCTATGAACCATTATTATAAGCTGCTAGAAAGATATTTCAGCTTTATATGTATTTATTGTTATTCATCGCAATTGCGAACACAGAATAAAAGCGAACATTAAATTACCCATGGATAGGAATGTTTTATTCACTTTAACAAAACAAAATATGAAGGTTTCAAGAATAATTTAATCTTCATCTGAGATTAACTTTGAATTTGAGAAAATTAACCTTGAGTAAATCACACACATATGATAGACGCCTTTGTTTCATCTTAACGTGTTGTCTGAACTGTTAAATATGAATGCTTTGTCATTAGTATCATTTCTACGGAGTATTTTCTGGTTACAATAATATTGATTTACAAGGTTTGGCTGATATTTTTTAGTTAGTTATAACATTAATCTTATATATGTACATGTGTGAAGGAAGGTTTGTGAATGTCAAGAGTGACATGAATTTATTTCACACGTTCATATTGTCCTTCCTTATCATGGTGACCAAATCTGTGCTGTTGTATGCCAGTCCATCCGACAAACCTTCATCGCTGTCAACAACCTGCCGATGGTTGCCTTCGTCTGGAATCTGTTTATCCAAAACCGGAGGAGAGAACTCATCCTTGCCTGGAAGGTGACAGGATGACCAAGTTCATGCTGCTCTATTATTGGAGGTGACAATCCGAGCTCCAGGCACAGGTTAAAGAACGTGTTGCCAACATTGGTGACAATTTTCTTTATCTCAGCATCAGACGGGGTTCTATTCCAGACATCGCTTGGAATCATTTCTGCAAAACAGATACTTTTTTCTTTGAATAATGTTTCTTTGGGAATAGTTCATAAACCAATTACAGAAAATTTTCGTATACCTGCATGGTAATATATTTATAAAAATATTTTACAAACATTTAAATTATACAGTCATTTAATTCTGAATTTCCTCTGTTAAAGTTTTGAATTCATTAGCAAACCTTTTACGAATGATAAACTGATGTGTGACGTAAAAACAGTCGATGTGGCCGGAGTTAACAAAGACTTATGCCAATTTCAGGCTGTTCCTTTTATTAACCTGACCTCATATTTATGTTTTCAAAATATGATTTGTAAAAGCTGATAAGACTTATCATTGTAATAAATGCCAAGCGTTCACAGAAAATTCCGTTACATTGTTATAAAGATTTTCATTTGCACCTGCTCAAGTGAAATTATCACTAAACCAAAATAGAATAGTTTTTCCTTTAATATCATAGAGATAGAAACATTTACATGCTATATCACAGTACGTACGTGTAGTTGATGTTTACATATGTTGTGTTTATCATGATGTGCAAGTTATGTCTTCTTTTAACCTTGATCTAATGATTCCTCGTCAGTTTCTAACACTTCGCTGATACGGTCAGCTGCCATCTCAGCCGCCGTCATAGCTCGCTCGATATCCTGGAACGTCTGATTCGGGTAAATGACTGTCCATTTCAGAAACAACTTTGTAATCAGTGTGATTCCCGCAAAGTTTTGTGACTCCCATTCAGTGGTCCGGATTTCTGGTTAAGGAAGGCCAAGATGGATAAAAAGGCACTCACAGCTAGATGAGTCGACCGGACGGGACAAACGACCAAGTTCCCTGGGGGTCGGCCTTCTATTCGAGATGGTTGTGTCGCACTCCGTCGTTTCTAAACCAATCAGAGGACAACTAATAGTAAGACCTATTACAGTGTGTAAACAACTATACAAAGATAACAATTGAAGTCCTCAATGTTTACATAAGTGTCACTCAATCATCTATTCGATAGTTTGAAGTCGATTATGCAACTTAATGCTTCAAGTATTTGTCACATATACGTACACCGAGACTATTCCAATTTATGTTTACTTGCTGCGAAGATTAGGGAAATGTATAGTTTAATTTTAAACGAGTTGATCTTTATCAAAATATTTGGGTCAAGGAAGGCTGGAGTCTTTAAGACATCTATAAAAGTTGATAAAAACTGTAATTAAGCGTACTATTACCCGAATCAGACGTTCAAGCGTTGGTTCGCTAGAAACAAAATGTTGTACAATGCAATATAGTCTAGAGAGTAATTTGAAATTTTCATAACTAGTGATCTACATGAGCATTAAAATCGTTGGTTGTGCATGAAAAAAATATCATATTTCGATCAAAGGTTGGCGAAATTGGTACGTTAAAACAGGTAACTATCAAACAAATCATGGATTTAATTATGAGAAGCACGGTCATACTGATAAAAGTTGTATTTGCCGCAGTAACATTACAATATCAAAACGGAATAGGAATTGTAGCACACTGACTGTGTTGTAGCTAAAGTTGATAATTTGGTAATGGCGATTGCTTATGATGGCTATCAATTCTACATCAAACGATACTACTGTTTCAACAACTCTTTAAATGGCAGCAATTTGTTATATTTACTATTTTAGACTTACTCTCCCGACAGTTTTCGTAATTTCCTAACCGAAATGATAGGTTTTCAGAAAATGAGACTGCACTATTACATTTTTAAATCGTTTGCGCAATAGCTTTCAATGAAATAGTCAAAGAACAAGATTTTACTGTGTCACCTGGCTGGTTATTTTTGACTAGGTCCGTTTCCTTCGATCTCACCTTGGGAAACAGGTCTAGTATCGAGGAACTAGTTTCTTGATATATATTATCCCTCAAGCCCATTTTCAACGGTGAAGAAACGTCGACTTACGGACGGTGTTTCGTACACTTGTTATTTGTGCACTATAGCTATGGAAGGTGACGCAAGAACAAGATATATCTTGTCCTGAAATTGACCATACATTACACGTTGTGAAGAAGAAAAAGCCACACTATATTTAAAAGATATCCAATATAATGCCATGCTCACAGCAATACATACCATATATGACTAAATACTGTACTCACTTCATTGATTCACATATCAAACGGCAGCATTTCTATAAAACCTATTTAATCCCCTGTGCTGGACAAATATCAATCGCATACATACAAGTATAAACTGAAATATACCGAAGTTATTTTCAAATTCCAACGAGGCAATTAATACATTCATACACTGAATCCGTTTATTTGCTAACCCTTAGATGATTTATTGATAAGATTAGTTTGAATTCGTCCTTACCTGCGCCATTTTCTCTGCCTTCAACCGTCGCTAAGTGCTGAAAAAGACAAACGTTATCAAGAATAAATATTTCTTTTCCACTTAATACCGTCATACTTTGTGTATGGTTTAAACTATCTTCTAAAAAAATAAAGAATAAAGAATGCAGTCGTTTACCTGTAGTCACCTTTCAACATGTATAATACTTGCCGAGGATGATTTAGACCAATAGTGAATTGTTAGAAAAAAATCAACTTTACCTTCACGAAATACTGAATTCATGATTAGTATTTATTGACAGTTTAAAGGTTTAATGCATTTCAGCTACATGTATAATAAGGAAGAACAGTTTCACTATTTTTCCACTTTAGCTATTAACTTTTTTAAATGACAAATCAAGCAACTACATCTATAAGTTTCAACGTACATGATCAAAGTCTTTGCAATACATCAATTGGACATTATTTTTGATGCTGACCATTTGTTGATCCAGGATAACGACATCGTTAAAGTGCAGACTTTTACAATGCTAACATTTTGAGTAAACCTCCTACTGTGTCTCTTTTCTTTTTATTCGGTTTTCTTTTGCAATATTAGAATTGATTGACTTTAACTCTGCGAAATGCACCGAAACCTAACATATTTTATGGATTGCATCCTTTAAAAATCGACTTATAACGAACAGTAGGGTGCATACTGGCATATATATATATTTTTGTGTCACCCAGTTCTGCTAGTTTATTTTAAAACGATATGCGAATTATAAATATAAGCATGTTACCTGTTCGATGTCCCAAAAAGTGGTGTCCGTTTTTGTTAGTCGATGTTGTGCTCGGCATACTACACCTTTACAGGGCACGCCCCTCTCTGAGTGGATGATGCCGTACAGTTGTACTGGGGTGTCGAATGGACTCAGGTGGAAGTTGCAGTGCAGCTGGTGTGCGTACTGAAAGTGTAGCTGGTTACTCATATGCAACGTGTCTCGTAGAATCTGTTTAACTTTTAGCCTAATACGTGGTCCGGATTCTGCGGGAAGTTGGGTCTCTGTCAGACTGATCACAGTCACGGCGATTGTTGACCTCTCTGCGTGCATTGACACGATCACTCTGCAAAGGTCGTCGACCTCGAAACACCCAAAACCCGAATATAGACAAATAGTATTGTCTGTCTTGGTCTGGCCACGTTCAGCTGCCTCCTCTAAACCTCGAATTGATAGTGACGCTGCTTTGTACGCCCTCATGACCTTGGCAAAGATTCTGTGGAACAGCTCATCTGGTACGGAAACGTCTTTGAACACGAAGCATAAGGTTTTAGAGACAAAGAGATTGCTTTGTTGGAGGTAACTGACCTTCTCGGTTATAGCGTCAACGTTTTGTAGCTCCATTAGTTTGCTCGGAATGGTGTACGTTTCACTGAACTGTGCATTTTCTGTAGTGGTTCCCGATATCAGTACCCTTGCTATCAGCCCGAACTTTTCCATCAGAGCCAGGAGATGGGACTTATGAGGACGAAACTTTTGGTTCTTTTCCAGGCTGAGAAGAACATCGATCAACTCGTGGGTCAGCTCTCCATTTGTCGTGTACCGTTCTAAATCTCGGATTAGCAGGAGGTCGTCTTTTGGGAGGAACTGGTCGTCGGTTATCAGGATACTGAAAAAATCAGCAAGCCACTGGGGGTCGTTGATGATGAAGACAAACTCACGAAAATAAATCACAGACCTTGTACAATGCAGGTACCTGCACAAAATAAATGAAGGTGTTATATAACTTGCATTAGTTACATGACCAATAAGAGTGCCAAAAGAAATATAAAAAAACTGGTCCTATGTTTGTTTGGATAGATTTTCAATCTTCATTCAATTTCAATTGGTGTTATGAGCAACACATGCTAAGAAATTGTATCACATTCACCTTCGATTTTTCGACGTTCATACTGAGTTGATTTTGTTTTTCATTTTAATAAAATTATTTACATTCAAGAATGACAAGAAATAAGTGTATGCATAAAGTAATTTCCGATTGAAGTGTTTTTAAATGTGTTTTATAAAAATACACGATAGTACTTTAGTAATTTCTGAGTTGTCATTTTAACGGACGTATCTATAGCAACTTGGTTTTCTAGCTATATCCTACGTAAACCAACTGATAAATTCGAAAGTCCGAAATTATGGAATTATTCAAGTATCAATAGGCATGCTAAATAATGCATGGGTCATCTCCTCATTCTGGATTGGAGTCAAACATCTAGGTAAATGTGATGTGACGTTAACCCAAACATTTGATTTGTCGTTCGTTTCTATTGTATAAATTGTTCAAAGCTTTACATCATAACGTTTGATGAGTGAGGTTATTTTGTATATATACACATTGCGTTGAATGCACAGGGGCTGGGAACGTATATATGTAGCGTTTTATGTGATTTTGCAAAGCGTAATAGCGAGGGTAAGTCACATAAATGTCATGACAGATAGGTTGATAATAATGTACAGGGACAACGGCAGCGGTATTGTAGATGTTGTTTCAGATTATATTCCGAGCATTATCAATATAATGAGTTGTAACGACTATTTTCTTCAACATTGCAATTTAACAGCTGAGACTCCTTGCCGTCTTGATTTTAAATTGCATTCTGTTCAGTTTTAGTGTATGGTGAAGTAATTCTTTTACTTTAATTGGCTTTCTACATCTACATACTATACAGTTTTAACAGCTGTTATACACTGTTGCACGTTCACAATTATAATGGCAACATGAAACTACAATACTGTTGCTAAATTCTGATTGAATAACTCCATTAGTCCTTGAACAAATGACCCTGATAAGCATATATTATTAGGACACCGATACAGCGAATTTTAGTGTTTCAGTAAAAGACATTATAATCTGACATAAAACGCGTCCGTTACCTACACCAGTTTCGATATGTATATTTTTCCTTCAGAATGAAAGGAATACAAGCTTTATTTCCTTAGATATACATGAACACTGTCAAAAAATTGAAATCACTGGCATTTTGTAGTTTGAATTCGAGACACCTCCAGTGTTTCTGAAATGTTCTTTTTTCTTCATACATATGATACGAATAGGAAGAGATAACACCAAAAGCTTATTTACTCCTTAAATGATAAAACGGAACAACAATATCTAGTAAATTGTATCTATATATGTCTATGTAACAACTGTGTAGACATACTCACTCCAGTGCCAGTTTCATTTCCTCCTCCTCCGTTAAAGGGGCTACAGACTTCTTGTTCACTTCAATGACCTCCGCTAAAGCGAGTATCCTGGTTCCTTCTTCTCTGGCGCTAAGTAAGTCCCTCTCCAGCTTTAACCATTTAGTCGGGATTTCTCTGTCCCACTGATCTTGATGCACTGCTGCGTCTGTGATTAAACCTCGCAGTTCTTTTAGTTCTTTGTCTTCGTTTCCAAGGCTGTTATCGGCTGTACAGATCCTGACGAAATTTTGTAATGCTTGCCTTTATTGCCTTTACCAGTTGACCGTAGTCCTGAAACGGTAATACATTCAATAGTTCACATTTTACTTCTTTTGTAAACAGTATGAATTACAAAAGCATATTGGTTTTTCAAGGTAGAGAAGCACTTAAGGACAATCAATTTGTACCAGAGCAGAATACAATGTGTACAAAACACAATTATATTTATATCTTAGCAAACATATTTGTATATGATTAAATGAATTTATGATAATATTGAGAATGTGTTCCACACACATTTAATATTTATATTTTTTACCGTGGTTGCTTGCTTTAGTTGATCGAGGAAGGTGCCGACGAAAATAAGTGGTGGATCATGTGGCTTCAATTTTGGCGCATTGAGTTCAACTGACGAAAATGTGCCAATCAATCGGACCCATTTCTTTAATCTATCTGGACTCAGAAAGATATTATGATTATTTAATAGCAAAGGTGTCTTTAGGAAATACTGATACATATATAGTTTCTTTTTCAAATTACACCATTCAATACCATAGGCAAAGATTTGAAAACTATTGTATACACTTCCAACATACAATCTATGTGTTATTTCCGACAAGAACAATAACTTCAAATAGAACGAGTGTCTAAAAATAAGTTTAATTTCAAAGTTGGTTTGTTTGTTATTTGAATAGAAGGAGAGGGGGTATGGATTCTATTCATGTTAAGAATTTGAAAATTCAATAAATTACTGTCTAATTTCAAATTACATAATGCGTAAAACATCTTTTACGGAATATAAACTACGGCATGGAAAAGATTATAAAAGAGAAATTGTCAGTACAGCATAGTGCAAGTTCAGAATCAACAGAATTACAAAAAAAAGCAAAAGGATAAATAAAACGAAAGGGCTCTTAGTATTTAAAATATGAGGCTTTCTTATATCCTCTAAATACACTACAAACATAGAGTTAATGAGTTGTACATGAAGCAAAGAGTACCTGGACTGGAACAAAGTGGTCTAGGTGTAAAAAAGAAATCGATTTCATCGGCGTCTGGTTGAATTACGTCAAAATATTTCCCCCATAGATAGGAACTATATTAAATAAGCACGTGTGTGTTAACTAACAGGTTAATACTTAAGTTGTATGTTCGTGTATGTATATATATAAATTAAAGATATTTTGTAACTTCCTGTAGCAAAGCAACTCATACTGATTATAATCCTAGACTGGATGTTCGTCAATTCCATCCCTGGATTCAGAATTTCTTTCACGCCGAATCTATATTCTGACTGGGACAACTGTAATGTCATAAAACACTTTAGTCTGATTTCTTTCTGTATTCTTTTCCAAAATAAAAACATAGCAATCAAATGAAAAAGGATTGCAACCTCGCTTTCTGAACTAAACTATTTTTCATCGTCGCTTGTCAATCAGAACATGCTTCGATGTTCATAATGGCCAAGATCCAGGCATTTGCTTCGTCTTAGATTTTCTTCTTTTTTCTGATTTCATCTGCTATACCCGTAAGGTGTCAACTAACCAAATCATTCTACATTATGTACTTTCTAATAGTTATCCCGTTAAAAAAGATACACCAGTTATTAAAGCAAATAAACGAAACAAAATCAACACGTATCCTTCAAATATTCAAGAACACCGTTTCATTACCTTACCCTGTGTGTCATCGCATTAATGTTCAAATAAGATGTATAATTAAAATATAATAACAGTTTCACTGCAAAATATTATCATTTATATATGCAATACTCAAAAAATATATTTTCATTCCGTACCCTAACAATCTCAAAAATACATCCTCTTTTTTCCTGTACCCTCTCCTAATTCACAGTTCTACCTTCATGTCAATACAAACAAATATAATTACGAGTCTCTTTTTTCCCCTTGTAACCACCTGTTGTTGAATATTATGGTGTGTTTTAATATTTACAAAACAGTTTTTATTTATAGTCTTTGTTTCTGTCCCCATCGATGCTTTAAAGACTGACTTCATTCTTGATTTTGACAAGATACCAGTAATTGTTATTTGCAAGATGAATGATGTAAGGGTATCTTTGGACTTGCTGCATATGCATTGAAAAGATAAAAAATGGTTCGTTCATTTACTTACCAGTTTCCAACTTGTCTATTAGAAAGTCTGTCAGCCTGAAGACTAGAAGGTATACACCATGTGATGATATGAACACATTGTGTGAAGCTCGAAATGACGTGTGTCCACCCATATCCCACAGAGATAGAAACGCTCCATCAGCCTTGGCCTCAAATGAAGCAAATTTGACTGCCAACGATTCGAGGTATGTGTTACCTGTGTCTGCTGCAAGGTTTTCTGACAAAGGTAATCTGAATGAGCCGTCTTGGAACCCTATAAAACCACACAATGAAACTTAAGAATAAGTCTCAATGAAGCTCGTTCTTTATTTTGGTTGTTTACTTTATTAAGTTATAAATAATATATTTTGAAGGACATAAAGAAACATTTCCATTGTGAAGTCTCGATGAAGATTGTTCTTAATTTGTTTTACTTGATTAAGTTATATATATGATATTTTGTACGACATAACGAAACATTAACATTGTGAAGTCAGTTAATAGAAACTACAACATGCATAAAATGTGTGTCATTGCTTACATACTGTTATATCCATGGACTTTATGTAAAGTGACAGTAAATTACCTGCTCGCAAGCCAGCTTCTCTTTCTAATGTTTCCATGTTCAGCAATGCGCCCATACGTGTTTTAATCACGCGCGTGGACGATTGATCAGTATTTAACCCCCATTCTTTGGATTTCCAGTCAATAAAGAACCAAGCAGGATGAGAAACAGCTCCCACAGTTGGCTGACGCAACTTAAGGTCGACATTTTCGTTCTTGACCCTGCTACAGAAGGTCGTCTTCCCGGCACCCTCTCGGCCGGTGAAGACTACGCGTATGTGCCGGTATCTCTCCTTTAATCCCCTAAACAGCGCTACGTACTTTTCATACTCAGGAGTTACTGTTAAGGAAAATATTAAAATATTTTCACATATTCGATTAACAAAAAGAAGATAAAAAAAAAGACAAGAACAATTAAATACAAACGTTTCAGGGTCGAAGAACTAAGACACATAACCCTCACAACGGTTCCAAAGGGAAACTCTCTTTCTGCACCGAATGCAATTTTCGTCTTTAGGTCTACCGTCAAATATATGAACTTGCGTATGACATATATGCTCTATGATGATAACCAGTCTTCATTTATGGTAAAACCGGATATACCGAAGACTGAAATCGAGCATGGGGGTAACTTAACAGTGTGAATGTAACGTAGATTGAAACCTCTTAAATGGAAATTTACGGTTGTTCAAGTTTTCTGTTTGTCTGTCTTCAAAAATACGAAACTTAGAACAAGTGTTCGAAAAGTGAAACCCAATATGTAACTAAGATTGTCAGGAATGTTACTACTGGGGAAACTATGTAAAAAAGTCTGTTTGAATATCTTATGGCCAAATTTAACAAAAATGTATTCGACGCAAACTTTTCATTATATTTCAATTAATTTGTTTCGAACTTTAACAATTATAATTGTAGACGCAAGTAATTCTGGATTATTATTAAATACACTGATCAATGAGAGGTGTATGTATTTGGTACCGTTCTAGCAAATATATATATGTTCTCCATCGATATTTATTACACATATAAACACACTTTCTTCAGATGCATTATATTACCTACTAACATGTGCATAAATATGACTTTGCAAAATTGTTTTTTTAAATAACCAACTAATAGTCTAGAAAATGTGTACTATCTAGAACAAGCCATATGGTGAATCTCTTGATATAACATGAAACCTATGAATAGACTTTCTATTATACAGAGCCATTTATCAACTTTCATTACATGACGTCAAAAGTTCAAACAATTTAGCACTGAAACAAACGTCAATTGACGTGATATCGTGATGACTATGCTAAAGTCATCACGATCAAAATCACATACTAATTGAGTCTTTTGCAATGTAATTAGATCTAGAAATTAAAACCATATAGACAATACTCTGCCACTTAACGTGTAGAATGATGCACATAAGTACATGTTTGAAATATCTGATACACGATCAGGTAGTTAACACAAACATTTGGAATAAAATGTTCAGTTGTTACTTACGATCTGTAGAAAGATCCAGTCATAGCCAGGCAGATATGAAACACAATAGACAAAAACTCATCAGTACCTGATTAATCACCTTAGGTTTTGTTTAACGCTCCAATATCAAATAAAACCTTTAACACACCAATTGTTTTATCAAACTTATAATCGAGACAATGATACTTTAATCAATAGACTTTATTTTTATTGACGACGACAAGCCTTGTTTCAATATAATCAGGTTAAAGATAAAGGGTTCATAATCCATTAAGTATACCTTATTATTTAGTTGTACCAGATAAAAACTATGTCATTTTAATTATTGGGTATTTTGTTACTTTTTATCTTCCTATGTACAGTTTGTATTAAGCTTAGAAAAAACGCACACTTAGAGATTGTGGATACTAGGTATTTAGATTATCTTTAATATAATGGGATTTCACAATACTCACTGTCACGGATTCATCGTAAAGTGAGAATTTCACTTCTTTGCAACTTCTTAAGTTTGTTTCATAAAATGTTGTGATGTTGTATTTTTTGTAACACCTAACCTATATAACTTTGATTATTACCTCACCTCTACATGAAATATAATATAATGTTACTACGAATGATTTTTTCCAATCACTAATCAAGATGAATGCTAATGATTTGGAAAAGATATAAATGATGTAACCGTTTTCAGTAATTTCGATATGTAAGTAAAGTATGTATGGTGGCCGAACGGAATTCTATGTACTTCTTTTAACTAAAAAAAACGTCAGGTAGGTAACCCATACATTTGGAATAAAATGCAAAGTTGTTACTTACGAACTGTAGTTAGATCCAGTCATAGTCAGGAAGATATGAAACACAACAGACAAGAACTCATCATTACCTCATTAATCACTTAAGGTATTGTTTAACGCTCCAATATTCAACAAACTCTTTAACAAATCAATCGTTAAGTCAAACTCATATGCGAGTCAATGTTATTTTAACCAATAGAGTTTGAATTGAAAACGACAAGCTTTGTTCAATATAATCATGTTTTATCAAATATAAAAGGGTTCATAATCCCTTCATCATACCGTATCAGTTAGTTGGACTAAATAAAAACTAAGTCATTTTTATTATTGGACATTTTGTTACTTTTCAACTCATTGTGTACATAAATAGGTATTCGTATTTATCTTAAAAAATGCACATACGCATAGAGATTGAGGATACTAAGTTTATTCTTTAATATAATGGGAGTTATACGCAATACGCACTGTCACGAAATCATCGTAAACGTAAACATTTCACTTCTTCACATCTTCTGAAGTTTGAAAGTGTCATAAAATGTTGTAATGAAGTATTTGTCGTATGCCCTAGCTGATGACACTTTAAATAATTACTCAATTATATATGAATTAAATGTAATAAAATGTTATTATGATTGATTTTATTCCAATCACTTATCAAAATGAATGCTTATTATGTGGATAAGATATGAATGATGTAACCGTTTTCAGTAATTCGATACATAAGTAAAGTGTGTATGGTTACCAAACGAAAGTATGTGTTCTTATTTGAAAAGTACATCAGGTAGTTAACACAAACATTTGGAATAAAAAAGGTAAGTTATTACTTACGACCTGCAGTAAGATCCAGAATAAACCAGGCATATATGAAACACAACAGACAAAAACTCACACTACCTGATTAATCAACATAGATATTGGTTAACACTCCAATATCCAACAAAACCTTTGACAAATCATTGTTAAATCAAACCAATAGTCGAATCAATGTTATTTTAATCAATAGAGTTTTAATTGAAGACAACAAGGTTAGCTTCAATATAATCAGGTTTTATCAAAGATAAAAGGTTCATAATTCCTTAAGCATACCTTATTATTTAGTTGTAGTAGATAAAAACTAAAAGTCATTTTAATTATTGGATATTTTGTTTCTTTTCAAATCCCTGGGTACATTTTGTATTTATATCTATCTTATAAATGCACGTACTCATGGAGATTGTGGATGCTAAGTGATACGTTTATTTATTAAATAAATGGGATTTCACAATACTCACTGTCACGAAATCATCGTAAACGTAAACATTTCACTTCTTCCGTCATCTGAAGTTTATGCCATAAATGACATAACGTAGCATTTTTACATATCCCCTTACATATCACACTTTCAATAGTATCTACCTTTTACATAAAATGTACTAAACGGTCAATATGATTGATTTTCCCAATCATTGAGCAAGATGAATGCTTATGATGTGAAAAAATAGGAATGATGTAACCGCTTTCAGTTATTTCAATATGTAAGTATAGTTCCTATGGTTGCCCAAATAGATGATATGTACTTATTTGAAAAGAAGACGTCAAGTAGTTAACATAAACCTTTGGAATAAAATGCAAAGTTGTTACTTACCAACTGTAGTTAGATCCAGTCATAGCCACGCAGATATAAAACACAACAGACAAAAAGCCATCATTACCTGATTAATCACCTTATGTAATGTCCAATACTCCTATATTCAACTAAATCTATCACAAACCAATTGTTAAGTGAAACTAATAATCGAGCAATTAAAGTTTAATTAATAGCGTTTTATTTAGAAAACGACAAACTTTGTTCAATATAATCAGGTTTTATCAGAGAAAAAGGGTTCATAATCTCTTCAGGATACCGTATCATTACGTTGGACTAAATAGAAACTAAGTGATTTTTATGACTGCACATTTTGTTACTTCCCAACTCAACGTGAACATTTTGTATATGTATTTATATGAGAAATGCACGTTAACATAGAGATTGCAGATACTAAGAGATACGTTTATTCTTTAACCTAATTGGATATCACAATACTCATTGTCACGATAGCATCGTAAACGAAAACATTTTACTTCTTTACATATTTTGAAGTTTGTAAGCGTCACCAAATGTTGTAATTTAGCATTTTTCGTCGTATCCCCTAGCTTATGACACTTTGAATATTAACTCACTTCTATATGGAATGAATGTAATACAATGTTTATATGATTGTTTTCCTTCCAATCACTTTTGAAGAGGAATGCTTATGATGTGGATAGGATATGAATGATGTAACCGTTTTCAGTAATTTCAAGATGTTAGTATAGTTCCTATGGTTGTCAAAATACATTTTATGTACTTATTTAGAACAACAGTTGGTTAACACAAACATTAAGAATAAAAAAGCTAAGTTGTTACTTACGAGCTGTAGTTAGATCCAGTCATAGCCAGGCAGATATGAAAAACAACACAAAAACTCATCATTATTACCTGATTAATCACCTTAGCTATTGTTAAACGCTCCAATATCCAACAAAATATTTAACACACCAATTGTTTAATCAAACTAATAATTGAGACAATGTTACTTTAATCAATAGAGTTTATATTGAAAACGAGAATCTTTGTTCAATATAATCAGGTTTTATCAAAGAAAAAGGGTTCATAATTCTTTGAGCATACATTATTATTTAGATGTACTAGATACAAATTTATATCTATCTTACAAATGCACGTACACATAGAGATTGTGGATATTACGTAATATGTTTATTCTATAATAGAATGTGATTTCACAAAACTCTCTGTCATGATATCATCGTAAACGTAAACATTTCAATTCTTCATATCTTCTGAAGTTTTGTTAATGTCATAAATGTCATAACGTAGTATTTTTACGTTTCCACTTACATATCACACTTACCATATTATCTAACTTCAACCTGAAATGTACTAATCTGTCAATATAACTGATTGTCCCAATCATTGAGCAAGTTGATTGCTTATGAAATTCTATGTACTTACAAAATGTATATGAAAACAAGACATCAAATAGTTAACACAAACATTTGGAATGAAAAGCTAAGTTGTTATTTACCATCTGTTGTTAGATCAAGTCATAGCCAGGCAGATATGAAACACAACAGACAAAAACTCATCATTATCTGATTAATCACCTTAGGTATTGTTAAACGCTCCAATATCCATCAAAACCTTTAACACACCAACTGTTTAATCAAACTAATAATTGAGACAAAGTTACTTTAATCAATAGAGTTTAAATTGAAAACGAGAATCTTTGTTCAATATAATCAGGTTTTATCAAAGAAAAAGGGTTCATAATCCCTGGAGCATACCTTATTATTTAGTTGGACTAAATAAAAACTACGTCATTTTTATGATTGAACATTTTGTTATTTTTCAACTCCTTGTGTACATTTTGTATTTATATTTATCTTAGAAATGCACGTACAATATACACATAGAGATTGTGGATACTAAGTGATACGTTTATTCTTTAACATAATGGGATATCACAATACTCACTGTTATGAAATCATCTTAAACGAAAACATTTCACTTCTAGAAATCTTCTGAAGTTTGTGAGTGTCATAAAATGTGGTAATGTAGAATTTTTCTTCGTATCCCCTAGCTTATGACAATCTGAATATTAACTCGCTTCTATATGAAATGAATGTTATAAAATGTTTATATGATTGTTTTCATTCCAATCACTTATCAAGATGAATGCTTATGATGTGGATAAGATATGAATGATGTAACCGTTCATAGTAATATCAATATGCAAGTAAAGTTTGTATGGCTGAAAAAAGAAAGTATATGTACTTATTTGAAAAGAAGACGTCAGGTAGTTAATACAAACATTTGGAATGAAAAAGCTAAGTTGTTACTTACTTTCTGTAGTAAGATCCAGTCATAGCCAGGCAGATATGAAAAACAACAGACAAAAACTCATCATTACCTTATTAATCACTTTAGCTATTGTTAAACGCTCCAATATCAAACAAAACCTTTAACACACCCATTGGTTAATCAAACTAATAATCGAAACATTGTTACTTTAATCAATAGAGTTTTAATTGAAAACGACAAACCTTGTTTCAATATAATCATGTTTTATCAAAGATAAAGGGTTCATAATTCCTTGAGCATATCCTATTATTTAGTGGTACTAGATAAAAACTAAAAGTCATTTTAATTATTGGATATTTTGATACTTTTCAAATTCATGTGGACATTTTGTATTTATATTTATCTTGAAATACACCTACACATAGAAATTGTGGATACTAAGTGATACGTTTATTCTCTAATAGAATGGAATTTTACAATACTCACTGTCACGAAATCATCGTAAACGTAAACACCTCACTTCTTCACATCTTCTGAAGTTTGTTCATGTTATGACGTAGCATTTTTACGTATCCCCTTACATATCACACTTTCAATAGTATCTCACTTCTACAGGAAATGTACTAAACTGTCAATATGATTGGTTTTCCCAATCATTGAGCAAGATGGTTGCTTATGATGTGGACAAGATATGAATGATGAAACCGTTTTAATAATAATAATGATATACAGCATGTATATAGCGCCCTATATAATTTATAAAATTAGTCTAAGGCGCTTTACAACATATGGATAATAGTAATGGTTATAATTGTGAAAACAAACAACAAAGGCTTGCAATCACTTTCATACATTTAACAAGCAATGTGCACATAATTGAACAAATAAAAGGGTGGTATTTACATGACGTCTTTGCAAAGATTCTAAAATGCAGACGTGAAGAGGTGAGTTTTTATGTCCCTCTTGAACTTGGCCAGGGTATTCGACTTCCTAATAGCAGATGGTAAGCTATTCCACAACGTAGCCGAAACCCTCCCAAAGCATCTGTTTCCGTAGGTCACAGTACGAGATTTTGGGACACACAACAAAGATTCTGACTCCGACCGCAGTGATCTTGACGGCTGATACAGGGTAACAAGTTCCTGTAGGTACTGAGGAGCTGTTCCATTCAGTGCCTTGTATGTGTATAC